GGCAATATCAGGCAACCCCAGCATACCTCACACAATGGGAGTATATATAATGCCACTGGTAGGTGGTTGCTGAGGTTGGGGGCCTGGCAGCTGCCCCCCCCATTTTATACACTAGCAGTCTTCCTTGTGTATCTTGGGCCTCTGTCTCTTCAATCTATATATATGTATATATATATAGTTATATATATATATATAGAGTTTTTTGGATGAGGACACAGCTCAGGTACGTTTGTGAACTACATAGACCACTAGGACTAGGCCTTCCAGTTCCACATGGTCAGGAAAAGTTGCCATAAAGAAAAGCCCAAAGCAAGCAGGCAGGCAGAAGTGCTTCATGACTGTGTGTTTTATGGTATCTTTAGAGGAGGCTTCATATCTGTAAAATAGAGCCATAATAGAGCCAGAAGGTTTGGGAAAGCCACTTTATTGCTATAAAATGGGGTGTCCAGCCCGATCATGAATTTCATGGAGGATTTTATAGTTTCTCATGGCCGTTTTGACGCAGGTATTGATGGCGAGTTTGGTTCAGGCAAGGCGCAATAGGAAACATATGGAAACATATGGAGTGTATGTAGTCATTGCGTATCAGGTCCTGCTGTCATTTCAGATGGACAGGCACCAAAGAATCTGCAGCTGAAGCTATGGCTAGAAGCCAAGACTGTGTTGCATGTTTTCTATCAATGGACGTTACATGTATATACTGTATCCAAAGTTTTCATCAGGTAAAGCGGGCAAACGAGATCCGTGGTGACTGTTTTCGTGGACCTGATGGATTTGATCATGCACGCTGAAGTACAACGCAAGGTGCACACTGTCCTGTTATTAGTAGTTTACATGCTTCTGCTAGGGTGGGTGTCGGTGTAGCTCATCTAGCTCTATGATGTTTTTTTTGATACTGTATCGTGCAGCGCAGGAGCTTTTCCTCCTGACATACGATGGTACCAAGCTTTCACCTTGCAATTGCTGGGAAGCTGTCAAAGAGATGCTGCCTGACCTACAGCCTCCCAAAACGAAATATGAGGGTGACCCATGGGCTGTCGTTCTTTGCAATCCAAACTACGAAGCAGCTCCAGTGAACCGTCCTGTCCCAAGACTACTGCCTAATTGATTTACAGTGTGTATTTTACAATACAGTAGTTTTTTCAATTCGTGAAATGACAGCTTAGGTCTGAACCATTTTGTTCCAGCATGGAAGAAGTCTTCTGTGTCAGCTGATCTTCAGAAACAAGCTATGCTACTCCTCAAGCAGGAAGTGAAAACACTTGAAACACTGGCAAAGAAGTCTGTGAAATCCGAGAAGAAGAACGACAAGAAGGGCAAAAAGGGCTGGGCAGGATTCCTTGATGGTTCTCAACGAGAGCACGCCATTGCAGAGCTGGAGAAGAAAAAAAACTTATGGGCCATGATGGAATGGTGTGACTCATGGATCCCTTTTGAAGTTCCTGCAGACGGGAATTGTGGAATTTGGTCAACCCTGACGCTGACCAATAACAATCCTGAAAGCACCATGTCAGACATGGAATCTCTCACAGAAGAATGCAGACGTATGCGCCAACTTGTTGCACAAGAGTGGGAGGACCTTGCCAAAGACTCTTTTTGGCAATCTCTCTTCATGCGGTTAGTGGCACTGTTTGATGATGGTGCTGACTCGGATAGCAATTCAGATGGTTCTTTGCCTGATAAGCCACGAAGTGAACCTGGACCTGCTGTCAAGAAAGAGAGTCAGGACTCAGAGAAAGTCAGCAAGTCGGCAAAACCTGCCAAAGCCAAAGCTTGCCAAGATACTGCCCAGAAAAAGGATCAAGAGAGTGCCAGCTCAGGGCCAGCGCAGCCGGTGCAGGCTAACCAGGAGGGTGACAGGGCGAAGCTGGAAGCAAAGACTCCAAAGCGGAAAAAGCCGAATCCAACAATTTTTGTGGATTTGACGACTCCACCAAAGATTACAGTGGGCGCAGCATGTGGCACCCGTCGTAAAAGAGACACAAGCCTTGATGGAGTCGTGCTTGGCAAGAAAAGCGCTGTTGCTGCTGCAGAGGAGAGGACGCAGAATCTCCGAAAGAAGTTGGCAGAGAATCAGGCGATCTTTTTTGGGCAGAGTGAAGATCAGACAAAGACACCTGCAGAAGAAAAAGATCCATCCAATGAGGCTGAAGATGAAGAACAGGCAGAGACAACCCAGAAGAAGAAGAAGAGAGCAAAGAGAAACCGGCGGTTCCACAAGAAGCCACCGTGTGAGGAGTCTATGAGGTTGCTGGCTGCAAGGGGCTACTTGGGGAAGTTGAGGATCACATGGGCCTACTGCCAGGCATTTCATGCCTCTGTACGCCACAAGAGTGCCGATAGCGCTGAGGCTGTCAGCAACTCAGGAAAATGCAACACCTTCGCCTTGTTGCCAGCACTTCTTTTGGAGGGAAAGGAAGTACCACGCAGTGTGTGTGCTGTGATGCTGAAAAAAGCCGGCTTTTCAGCGGAAGAATTTCAGAAGCATACCACGCCCTCAGAAGAAGGTGGCATTTTCATGTCGCCAAACAGAATGCTGCAGATGGAAATGCAGGATATCAAACCTTTGGCTCCAGAGATTACGCAACCTTCTGTCACAGAGCCTCTTCCACCTGTAGATGTAGAAGCGCTTGATCCTGACCAGCTACAGATTGTGCCTTACACAGGGAATCCTTTGGCTTCAGGAGATGCACCTGAAGAAGACCTTCCAACACAATCTGTGCCTCTACTGATGTTGGATACTGTAGTGACTGTTTATATTTTGGTGGGTTTGCATGTTCTGCACCTGGTAGTCAACAGATTTTGGTGTTGTCTCATTTTATAGGTTTGAATCTTTGGCACGTTTCTAGGAACCCATGTTGTACCATATCAAAGTCTCAGTATATGAGATGCTTTGGTGTAAAAAAAGGTTCAACCAGTTCCCTGCAGAACCCCTTGCATGGCATTTTATAGATGCTGGCAGGTTGAAGAAGAGCAAAGAAGCCAGGAGGACCAAACTCCCTTGATTCACAACATCATCCGCAAGTACAAAGTGCTGGAAATGCTCAAGCCCAACACCTTCGGCAAGAGGTACCCCATCAGGTGTTGGGCGTGTACATCGCAGTCTCAGCCAAACGGAAAGATTTTTGAAGGTTCCAAGTGGAAGGCTGAAAGCATTCAATTTTTTTGCTCGCAACATTGCAGGGGCATCACACATGTGTCAAACACTTCCAGATACATTCGGGAGCAACGTGGGGAAACTGCAGCACCAGTGGCAGATGACAATGGTTTCCACAACTTTGTTCCATGTGTCGGGCTATGTTTGACTGATTGTGCATACAAGTGCTCGCTATTTTCAAGTGAGATGCTGCTTTGGGCGAAGAACATGAAGCTAGCCACTGCGCTCAAAAAGCACACTTATACATTGGATATGGCAACGCAAAACCTTGTGGTCAGGCACAGCGAGTGTGAGAAGTTGGTGCTACCTCCTGAGGACGGCAACCCAGCTGTTTGCAGCAAATGCCTAGATCCCAATACAGCCAGTTCAGCTTTGAAATGCTGCATCAAATTTGCAAACAAGTATTGGGGGGCCAAGATCTTGCAAGCCAAGCTGTTCAAGTCGCAAGCTGCATTGGATGATGTAATCAACGAGTTCAAAGAGACTGTTCTCTACAAAAGGTGTGGTGAACAGGTGTCCAAGATACTGAAACTGGATGAGTTATCCTTGCAGAAATGGGTGCGTCAATCATTCACAAAGATTTCCCACAACACTTGGACTGAGACTTTTGCAGCCTTTATGGAAACAGTGGTGATGCCTTGTTTGCGGGTGAACGTAGCAGAGTGCACAGGAGAGTTGAAGGGTCTGGCACAGCAGTTTGCCAGTAGCCTGGCTTCACATGATCTCTCAGACGTGCAGTCTATTGCAGTCCGCATAGCCAAGGCTTCGTGTTCAGGCAAGCTCGCTGGAAACCCAGCCATAGTGGGAATCATCTTGCAGTGCATAGAACAGCTAGATCGGTCCGAAAGAGGCATCAACACTATGAAACGGCCTCGCAACATGTCTGAACAAGAAAGGGAAATGGTCGCAGATGCTGCAGCGTTACTCTCCATCAATGGAGCCAACGCCAAGTTGATGAAGATTTTGGGCTTCAATCGCGCAAGTGCCCGTCACAACTGTGGTCGGGTTCACCAACTCCTGGAACACAGCCTTCCTTGTCCAGCTTTGTCGCTGCTGTTCCCGGAAGTTCTTGCTGAGAACCTTAACATCATCAGCAGCCGAATTCCGAAGATGGGCAAAAGCATGCAGCGCTTTGTAGTGGCCTTCGATTTTACATATGTTCTGCCGATGCATGTGCCTATGCTTTTGCATGGTAAGCACCACCTCGTTGGGGCTCCCTTCCACACAAAGCACATCTCGGAAGAGTCACCTCTTAGCTTCCTCAAGATTGAGGATGAAGTGGTGTTGGAGGACAACACAAAAGCCAATCGTTTGTATCTCAGCTCATCAGAGAAGAGTTTATAAAATGCCTCCAGCTTGTTGAAACAGGGAGACTGAGGAATAGCACGCTCAGACCACCTTTTATAGACTTGTCTATGTATAAAATAAGCAATAATCAAGCAATCCTTTGTGTCTATAAAATGCCAGAATCTTTTGTGGGAACATTGAACACCTATTATACAAGTTCTAGTTGGTTTTTTATATGCAGTAATAGGATTGCAGACTGCTCAGCCTAGGTTGGAGTTTCTGATGTGGGACCCAGCCAGCCCTTCCAAAGAACGTTGGTGTCCAGCTTCTCTTCCAGTCTCTCTGGCATGGCTGAACTCCAAAGAATCAGACAGTTCTTGGGACACTGGACTGTTCAGTCATATATTGTGCATTTTTTGGGGTTTGGGGTTTGTTGTAGTACGTTGGAAATATATGGAAATATATTGTGTTTCTGTGTCCATGTTTCTCATCTTTGACGATTGAGGAAGTGTTCAAAATGGTTGACCTTTTCCTGGACGCTGCAAGCGAACATTGCAAAGTGATTATTTGTGACGATGAAGGCTGCAACGGCCTGGTCAAGAAGGCCATTTTTGGCCAATTGGAGGCCAAATACCGCCGCAGGTTCCATGAGACCAAATTCTTTGCAGATCTCACCTTCTCCAAGATTGAAGCTCTGCAGCAATTGCCACGCATGCCAGTCAAGGTTTGCTCTCTACGAGGCAGGACTTTGTTTGTGTTGCCAGGGCCGGCGCACAGCAACAAGAACAGCAATGGGCAAGTCATGTCTGAAGTGAGATGCCCATACTTTGGGCGCTTTTGGTGTGATGCTGCATTTGCTTTGGATCGAGGAATGCCTGTTCCAGCGTACACAAGGAAAGACCCGATGAGTGACAGGCTGGCAAGTCTGTTTGGGAATCCTTTCTACATCCTGGATCAGCGAGCTCCCTGGTATCAGTGCTGAAGGTTGTTTGTTTTTTCATTGTTTTTCAATTTCAAGTTCAATCAATGTCTTTTTATTTTACGTTTCATGTCGTTTTGCTGTTTCTACATCTATATATATATATATATATTTTTTGATTTTTGAACCATTGAACCATATTGAAACTATAAAATGCCTGGCGCAGATGTTCACAATCCATGTTAAACCAAAATTCTTGGGGCTGCATTTCATAAACAGCCCATGGTAGGCCAAGGTCAGGATTATAAAAAATTTTAAAAGATATTACAAGATTATGAAATGCGATTTCTTTCTTTGACTAGCCAATCCAGGTAAACAGTAGAGCTTGGGGCATTCCATAATCAGATATACTATGAAAAACACATACTGTAGTAGTTTAGCGTATGGCACTTTGATTGAGATGCCGTGATTTGCCAAGGATGCAGCTGCCACCAGCTGGGACACTATTTGTATTCCCTGGCATTTGAAGGGCTTCCTTTTGTGGAATCTCACGACGGCGCTGTGCATTGAAACTAGTTTGCAATGTGAGGCCTTTGTTTGCTGTCCATGTTCTACTAGTTCTGTGTTTTTTAATGTTTTTTAATGGTGTTGTATGTTTTTATTTGATGAGAGTGTGTTCATGTTTGGGGGTTGTTTGCAAGGCTCCTGCAGTTCACGACCTGCTTGACTTGGCTACCCGTAGCGAACTGGCTTTGACAGGGTTCATCCTGCAGGATCTTTGGGCTGTGGTCGCTACGGATGCAGAGAAGAACCTCGGCCGACCAAAAGGTTCCATGCAGATTGCAGCCCGCACTCGTCAAAACATGCAGAGCGTGGCCTTGGCAACTGCTGTCATTTGCAAAGAAAAGGACTCCGATTGGCACCCGTTTGGTCCTGGTCATCCGTTATCGGAAATACACTTGGAAAGGATGTTTGGTCGCTATCGCTGTGCCAATACCAACCCGGACTTGACCGTGACGGATTTCTGGCGAGTGAATGCTCAGATTGCCTTCAGGACAGCTGCAGAAAAACAACAGGCAGATAGCAGCAAGGCAAAACCTGTGGAGGAACCTCCCCTTTCAGACAAGCAGCTGCTTGTTGTGATTTGTTTTACATTACCTTTTTTGCATCCTTTTTCATCCCTTTCTTTTTGACCGCCAATAAGTGAGGTGTACATAACCTGTCGCACAGATTTTGTTTGTTTTTTTTTTTTCGGGCCTGAGGTTGCAAGAGTGTGCAGAACGGGCCTTCAAATCAGCTTTGCACTTGGTGTCTGCGTGCTCCACATTTTCAGTCTCTTCCTTGGAATCCCTCTACCGAAGGGAAGCCAGCCTGGATTTCTTTGACGATGAGAACGGTGAGGACGGTTCAGATGAGCAACTTGAGCATGTCTTGGAAGAGATGGCGTCCAAGAGGCTTGCTTCCGTGCAGGAGCTCCCACAAATGTTGAACCACATCAGTGCAAAGGCAAAGGCCTATGAATCTTCACAGGCCGATGCCAATGAACCTGAAAAGGTGCCAGACCCTGATCTATCTCTACCAGATGGCAAGCTCTTGGTGAGCTTGACTAGTGTGAAAGAGGAGAAGGAGAAAGGCAAATCAAGCTCAGAGCGTTGGGCCCAGAAAGCGCCTCAGACATTGAACCAGGCTTTTGAGAGTGCTGGAGTTGGAGGCGACTTTTGGCCAAAGTTGTGGCAGCTATGTGCATTTCTACGTTGTGGAAAGTCTGGCATGGATGGAATTTATCTCCGCAAAAGCGAGCTCATCAGGCAGCAATCAGCAAACCTGAATTGGCATCAGCTTCTTGGATAGTTTTGGGCCCCATCTCTTTTATTTTGATCGGTGTGTTTGGGATTTTGTTTTCTAATTTTATGTTTTTAAAATTTTACTTTTTTGATTTTTTTTGTGTCCCCTCTTTCCCGTCCCCATCAAAGGACTATACAACACAACTTCAAGGAATTGAGGGACATGGCAGACGAGACCATGGATGGAAGACGGGCATCACGGCTGTCGAAATGGATAGCAACGTCTGATGCTTTGAGAGAGAAAGCCAATCTACCTGTTCCAGAGCAAATTGAGAGGCTTGGTGGCACCTATATATGCAATTATCTGCATATACCCACTTATGAAATGGCTGTACCTGGCAGTATCCACTTATATGACGTATACCCACTGCAAATTTGGCATTTCATAAGCTGGTTCTACCACCAACAGCGGAGATGCAGTCATAGTACAACCACTCTATAAAATGCCTTGGTAAGGTCATATCGGCTCGTTTTGCTTTAGGGTATTGTCCTTTGCACTTTGTAGGTTCTTGCTCCTGGTACTACAGTCATACAATGACCAGTCTATAAAATGCAATGACAGGGTGATAATTGATTATATATTGTTACGTTGTTGCATTTACTGGACCCCTGCATTTTATATACTTTTATCATGTTTTATCGCCTTGTTGCCTCGCTTCCAGATGATGCTCCAGTCGTAATTTGACCTGTTTATAAAATGCCTTGATAGGTTCACATAGTATAGTTTTGTTGCAGATAGCTGGCCCCTGCATTCTATAGAGTTGTTTGTTTGGTGCTCAACTCTGATGCGTCCTCAGGATTGGAAAGGTTGTGCTTCTCTACTACTCAGAAGCGGATCCACCAGCTCCGGCGTTGGTCTTGACGACATGGACAGCTTCTCAGAAACCGCGCCCTTGCGCATCTCACATTCCAATCAAGAATGTGAAGTCATTTCGCGCCGTCCTCCTCCATCTTTGCAAGGACACTCCACGACTCCTGAAACCCACAGATACGTTCTGGAGGTTTTACCCAGAACACATCATTGCAATCCTGGATGTGTCAGTGTCGGAGTCTTCCATTTCCAGTGGCAAAATTTGCTTGACCCAGGAATCTTTTGAAGTCCTTGAGAAGATGATGAGCGCAGAGTACTTGGGCATCCCCACAAATCCTTTCACCCGGAGGAAGAGGAAGAAGCCGTTAGCTGCCAAATCATCCAAGAACAAGGGATTCAAAGCGGTCAAAAAGACTTTGTCCAAGAAAATTGCTTTGGGCAAAGCCAAGGCGGCAGCAAAGACAATCCCAGAGCCAGAGGAGCTGCAAACCACTGCAGATGACATTCGACGCAATGACAGTGGGCGAAAGCACATCCGGAAGGTGGTGGCTGATGCTCTCAACCATGACCAGATCAAGTTCCATGGTGAGACTGAGCTGTTCCATGCAAAGACTGGCGCATGCTGCCTGAAGGGATTGCCCAAGACCTATGTCTTGAAGACTTTCCTCCAGGTGGTTCCAAAGTATTTTGAATACCGTTTTCCGAACACCCGAAAGTCTGAAGACTATGGGCGAAGGGTGTTTGATGAGCTCCAAAATGTGGTGCAATCTCTGAAAAACGGAGATCGCCGGAAGCTCATCCTTTTGATCAAGGATGTTTACGCTGCATTCCAGAGTGATGCAGAAGTCCTGTGAGGGTGTAACGAATCACTTAGATTCGTCTGCGAGAACAAAGGTGCTGCGACTTTTGTCTTGGCATTTCATAGTTTTGGAAATTGTGGCTTGCCGTTCGTCTTTTCTTTGTGCTTGCACCCATGCGTTGCATTATATAGGCATAGTGTTTTTTGGTATATTTTCTATGGTGAACCCATCATGGGCATTATATAGGCCTGCTGTTTCTTTTTGCATTTTTTACTGCTCAATGTTCAGAATCCACCTTCCCCATTTTATAGTTTGGATGCTTTTTACTCAGTTAGGCATTGTATAGAAAATCCACCCTCCCTAGACATTTTATAGGGCCCAAAGTGTATAAGATGCCCCCTAAAAGCATCCAACCTAACAATGGAGGGGGATGAAATTTTGATAAAGTGCCACTGAGAAAAGCAGGGGTGGAAGGAAGAGAAACAAGTGTGCCAGACAAAGGTGAGAGCGGCTGACATTTTGTCGCGAAGACTGGTCCCATGTGCTGCATCAGGTGAGAAAGTGAGAAACCGACATTGGGAGTGAAGTGGTTGCCGAGGTAGGTGGAAACGGTGGCAAAGTTGGTGAAGAAGTGGTAAGAGCTGGTCCATGGTGAAGTCCTTGTCGAGATATTGCTGAGTGAGATCGATGAGTTGAGGAAAAATGAGTTCACGAGGTCGAGTCAAGCGGCAGATCAGGATTCCGCGGGTGAAGAAACCGGCTAGAGCCATCTGAGGAGATCCATTGGTGCGATTGCTGTGGTTGTTGAAAGGTAATAGTGCGTTGAGATGTGGAGAGAACAAAGCCAAGTAGGGTCTCATCCGTGACGTGCTCCATCTCCAGTGGTCGACCATAAAAGAAGGGTTGAGCGATAGCCTTGAAGTAGTCAGTGTGAAGCATATGCATCGGCCCAAGAAAGAAGACATTGTCGACGTAACGTGCCCGAAGTGCCAGCCCCGTGGCATAGCGCCGTGAGGAAGTGGGAAAGGAACGTAGGAAACAATGTTCTCGAAAAAGTGCAACAGCACTGCATAGCGCAGGGGCAAGAGGTGAGCCCATAGATGCTCCTTGGCGTTGGCGGAAGACAGTGAGTCCCACCGTGAAGTAGGAAGAGGCCAGAAGGTGAGTGACCAGTTCCGGTAGGTCGCGAAGGTGTAAGGGATGGTAGGTGCGAGTCTTGCGCCAACGGCCACGAAAGATGCGTTGAAGACGTTCTTGCTGATGCTGAGCGACACTGAGGACAGGGTCATCTCGGAGGTCCAAGCCTTGGAGAGCAGCGTATCGCGCGACCAAGAACTCAACTGTGGAGATCATACGAGGATGTGTAACGAAGTTGAAGAAACCGGCGATGTCCTGTTGGTAGAGCACGAGGTCGTCCATGGAGTCATAGTGCTGCAGTAATCTCCAGATGTGACGAAGAAGGGGAAGGACGTCCGAAAGTGATGTCAGGTCAGGGAAGACCACTTGAAGGAGGCAATAGATGGCAGAAGCCACGGTCTGACTGAGTGGGGCGCTGACTGTCTGAGTGTAGGAAACAATCGGGCGAGCCTTGCTCCAATCACGGGAGTGTTTGGGAAGTATGTAGGCTGAAGGTGGTCGACGATCCCAGTGAAGGCCCCAGCGATAACGCTGCAGAAGATGGGGTGGCCATACGTCGCGGAGGCGAGTCTTGATCAAGTGGATGCCGTGGCGGAGTGGTTGAAAAACAGGAGAAGAAGTGGTGGGTGAAGGAACGAAGGTCTTGTGCAGGAGATGGTGGTAGTGACAAGGGCATGTGAGCAGGGCTGTATGTGGGACATGATCACCAGGTCCAACCACAAAGCCTTTGGTGTAGCGGCGAAAAGTGTGTACTTCGGGAAGAGACCATCCATTGTGATTGGTGGCTTCATGGTGTAGATGACGTTGCCATTCTTGTCGGAAAAATGTTGCCATTCAACTTGAAGTCGGGCGGGGAGGTTCCAGGCCCGAAGCCACCGTTCCATCTGTGTCACGGCTTGGTTCAGGTAGTCCCGCTCATCGGGCCAAACTGTGTCCTGAAGATTGGCTTCGGGAGGAGTAAGCCGGGGAAGATTTCCGAAGAGAAACCGATGACGTGACCACAATCGGGATGCCGGGTGAAATCTGGTCGAATCCGGTGACAAACGCATTGTGGTGCGGAATCAGGAGTCCATTGGCGTAGAAATTGTCGGAAGGTAAAGAGGTAGGGCTCCAGTGTATGAGACTTGACCTCGATGATCGGTGAAGCTGGAACTTGTAGTGGTGGGAAGAGATTGGAGTTCAGTTGTAGAAACTCGCGAAAGTGTTGGCGACAACGTTGATGAAAACCGTGGGAGAGTTGGAACAAACGAAGAGTAGCTTGTGTAGGTGGAATCATCAGTTTCCGGAAGCGGAAAATCAGTTTGAGTTGGGCGGAGGCTCGCGATCTCCAAGGTTCATCGATGTGGAAGTGCTGGGACCATAGGAGGTAGAGCACCTCGACGGACGCTGAGTGACTGCGAAGAATCTGGGAAGTATAGAACTTCTCTTTGGTGTCGCTCCCAAGTCTGTGTAAGAGGTGAAGAACGTCCAGCGTCTTGAGGAGGTGAAGATCCAGAAGACATTCCTGAGTATGTCGGCGTTCAAGGCGACGGTGATGTCGATGGAGACGGGTCATTCCAATCGGTCCGTGACGGGTGGTTGGGATGTTGTATTGAGGGAGA